GCAGAAACATCTTTGGGTTTGGGTTAGGTGAGTAACGCCTTCCCTGAATTTGGCTGTAGGGGAGTTGTCAGTCCTTGTATTATATATATTATGTGTTGAAGAACTTTCCATCCTTTCTCCAGTTTCTCAAGAAATTGGCCTCAACCATCCAGTATAGTCTTCCTCGCCCCACGTAGAATCTTATTTGGTCTTTGCAGATCTTCTTCATCCCGGGATCAGTTCTAAACTTTTTTTGGAATTTCAGTGACTGCTGCCCAAGTATCAGTTTTGAATTTAAGGTTTCAACCATTTAGACTCATGCTTGTGCACCAAGGTGTTGCCTGTTCTATTGAGGATATAGTCTCAGCAGTAGGGAGTCATCATCTGATAATAGCAGTTCCCTCTTAAATTGTTCCCACTACTCTTGATAACCTGCATTTTGTCCCATTTTGTGGCCTCTCTCACATTCCATCTGTTTTGCTGGTCATTGTTGCCAGCTATGGCTTAGTGTCTTGCCACACCGTCCACAGCTTTTCCAAGCTTCCCTCCTACTAAGGTTCTTTGGTCTCCCACTCTCATTGTGCACTGTTCTTAGGGTATGTCTACACTACCCGCCGGATCAATCCAGTGGGGGTTGATTTATTGCGTCTAGTCTAGACACGATAAATCGACCCCCGAGCACTCTCCCATCGACTCCTGTACTCCAACGCCGCGAGAGGCGCAGGGGGAGTTGACGGGGGAGCGGCAGCAGTCGACTCACTGCGGTGAAGACACCACGGTAAGTCGATCTAAGTACGTCGACTTCAGCTACGTGAATAACTTGCGTAACTTAGATCGATTCCCCCCCTGCCCGCCCCCCCGCCAGTGTAGACCAGGGCTTAGGTCATAAATTTGATCTGACTGCACCTTTCACATTTGGGTCTTTTCTCTTTCCCGTGTCAATATCGTCTGATGCAATCCCTTCTCCCATGCCCCCCAGGCTGCTAGCTTGTGAGTCACACTGCTGTTCCTTATGGTTTCTTGCAGTCTCACTTTTGCTATAGCTTTTGCTACTGTGAGAGCTGGGTCTAACTGAAACTGTGCAGATAAACGGGTGTCTCTTATACCAACAACTATCCTGTCTTTTAGTAGTTCTTCTTTTCACATTCCATATTTGCAATGTTCAGCA